ATTTTTAGCGTAAGGATTTTAGAAAAAAGTATCATCTTATAGTCGGAAAAATACGGTATTTGTTTTCCTGGCTATCCATGGTACTATCTCTTTTGGTGTTGGTCTTCTCTAATACCAAAATTCAAAAGTGTCAGTGCACCTTTTGTCTTGCTTCTTGATTCCCATTTTCCTAATGACATTACACATTTGACATGGTTCACACAATGAAAAGCCTCTCTGTAATCAATGAAGCATGTATTGACTTTTTTCTTAATTATCTAGTGTGCGTCAGTTTCATGTTTCTTGGCCTTTAACATCCAGCCTAAATTTCTGGCCACTCCATTTCCATGTACAGCTCTAATCTGCACTGATTGATCCTGAGCATTATTTTGTTTTATGTAGAATTAAGGATATCGTGTGATAGTTTGCACACACTGTTAAATCTCCTCTCTTTGGTACTGGTATGTAGACTGACCTCTTTCAATCTGTTGGACACTGTCATTCTGCAGATATGCTGTCATAATTTGCTTAGAACCTTTGCAGATTCTTCTTGTGTTACTTGCTATATTTTTGTAGATGTTCCATCAATTCTTATATCCTTCCAACCTGGTAATGACCAGACTACTGATCTGACTTCATCTTCGACTATTAGAAGATCTTGTAAATAGGGAATGTCTTCTAAGGTATCTTGAATGTTGACATCTCTGCTGTATAGAATTTCAGTATACCCCTTCCATCTTGGTTTGAATCAGTTACTATCTGTCTATTCACATCCTTTAACAGATCAAATACAGGCTGGAACTCCTCCTGAGCTTGGAGTTCTTTTGGAAGAATGTCCTTGTTTTTCTATACCTTTTTTCATCAGTGTCTTTACTGATGTCACTGTAAATTGTTTCTTATCTCTTCTAGCAGCTCTCTGAAATCCTTTGCTAAGTTGCCTCCTGAGATCTTTGTCTTACTTAGCTTTGACTTCTCTTCTTGGCAATTTCCACTGTCTGTTCTGACATCCAGTTTGCTTTCTTCTGTTTCTTGCTCTTTGGCAATCTCTTTTAATACTGACCCATAACTGCCCATCGTTGAGAGTTAGGACTTCAAAACTATTTCTGATCTCCTTGAAAATGGTGGGTATCTGGTTGAAACTTGCACATGAACAATTCATGATCTGTTCTCCAGTCAACCCCTGGCCACGTCTTTGCTGTTATAACTTAGTTCTTCCACCTCCTTGCTCCAATAATATAGTCGATTTCATTTAGTCTATCTTTGTATTTATTATATACACTATATGCATGGTGGTATCCATGTATGTAGGTATTGTTTTGGTTGACTTAAAGACTGTGTTAGCAATGAAGAAATGACTGAATTAGTAGAAAGTGATGAACAGAAGTGTTATTTTCAAAACATAATTAGCATCATGTTTTCTTAGTTGTTTTTTTTTAAGGGGACAACCTTTGGAATACTTTTGTTTGAAGAAATTGCAGAAGCTTAAAGTTTGGGTTTGCTTGTTTGCTTTTCAGTTGTAAGATGGTTGATGGGAATCCGTGGATTTCATTCACTTTTTAAAACTAAACATCATGTTCTAGATCCATCCATTTATCTGTGTAGTATCTCTGTTCATCTGTTTTTATTTTTCATTCAGTGCACTTTAATATGGGCATAGTTAATTTAACAAATTATGTGATGAAACTGAATAAGTTGTATGTGATATATACCTAACATTAGTAGTGTATTTTTAACTTTTATTGTGAATTCTTTATCTTGATAGCAAGGCATTACAAAAATAAGCTCTATAGGCTATTAAATGAAATGAAGTATTGAATTGGATTAATTAAAATATTCAGTATATGTTCATTTTAATTATCTCAGTGATTAAAATGCCTTATTTTCTCACATTGAGCTTAGATTTTGTCTTGCCTACATTGCTAATGAAGTCTTTGAATGTAGTTTAAACATTATACTTAACACTTACTAATAGCTTTCTACATTAATTTTACTTCAAATGATGATATCCAGCTGCTAAGGAAACTACTCTAAAAAAGTCCCCTAAACTGACCATCATCTTTTTTATTATTATTTTTGCATTATCTTCAAGATACTTTCTATAATAAGTATAATTTATATTCACATGATTCATAATTGTCACTATTCAAAGAAATATTAGAGGGCCAAAGCTTGGGGGCATGTTTAGTATATTTTTAGCCCATTTCTTCTGATACATTGGTATGTCATAGACTAATGAAAGTCAAAAACTTTTGTCAGTTAGCATTAGAACAGAGCTATTGCTTCATGTGCATAGCTTTCTAGTTTGCATATTTTTAGATTCAGTTTTTAATGTACTGTCTATACACAGCTAAGATATTCCAGTACCCCAATTTAAATATGCATTCAGTTTGCACAATCAGTCCCTGATAAACCTGAGCAATGTTGATTCTCAGCATTGATTATATTGCTAAGTCTTAAAATAACAACCTCATAATAGAAGAAAAGTCTACATTTTGTGTCAGGTAGTAAGACTTATTAGATACTTTTCACATAAACTTCAAAATAATTTTAGTTTTAGAATTATTTCTTTAGTTTTAGCTCTTTGTTTGATTAACTGTTTAACCAGACAGCAAGAATTTCAGAAGCATTGAAATGAACAAAATACCCTTAATGCATTGATTGCTAAATCCTAACTATAAATCATATTATATATTTTGGAGGCAAGGTTTAATTATATCTATCTAACTTTGGCATGCAGTTTATTTTTTTTTTAGTTTTTCATTCTTTAATAATCCCTAAGTTATATATTATCCAGGAGGTCTTTCATTTGTTTATTTTGAACTCTGACAAGGGAAATAAGGAATTTACTAACTTCTCTCAGCTGATGGAATTGATCCATGTTTGCTACAAAACAACATGGAAACATTGTCTTATTAAATTATTTTAATATATTAGCAAAATATCCAGAAGCTGTACATAATTGTGTTTTCCACCAGTAGTAAACAGTTTTAAAATAAAATGAAGAATGAAAAACTATGTTAAGGTACACTTACTTACTCATCAACTGTGCTTTCTTATCAGCTCTTAACTTAAAATAGTTTGCATTGACATTCTCTGCCTTTCTGTCTTGTGTATCTCTTTGCTCTTTCATTAGATCCTCCCACTACTACCACTTCACCATTCACGATTCCATGGCTTCCTTCAACTGATGGCATCACAGGTTTAGCAACTCAACCAAAACTAAAGCTTTTTCCAACATCATCATGGCCAGCAATACAGGAAGACAATTGGGGCACCATCATCGGTAGTGCAGTGGGCGGGGCTCTTTTCCTCATTCTTGTATGTGTCCTGGTTGGAGCTCTCTGGTATAGGAGAAGGAGGACGTTCCGTGGTGACTACTTCGCTAAGAACTACATTCCACCATCAGATATGCAAAAGGAGTCCCAGATAGATACCCTGCAGGTTGAGGATGTGGATTCTTACCCTGACAGTGTGAAAAAAGAAATAAAACACCCCGTGAACAGTCTCTTAACTAAAGACTACTTGGGAGAAACTGAAAAAACAGACTGGAACAAAGTAGATACTATTAACAGATACCAGGACAGGTATGAAAGACCAATGGATTACTATGAAAGTGGAACACTGGGAATGAAATACTTGGGTGATGAATGTTATGATGAAAATGAAGATGACTTAGTTTCACATGTAGATGGCTCTGTAATATCTCGAAAGGAGTGGTATGTGTAACAGTAACGTCATCCACTTTCATGTCTTGACTATACATAAAGTTCCTTCATTAGCTGATCACTTTCAGATTGTTTATACTTTTTCTTGAGGAATAAGCTTTTTCAAGTTGATTTTCAAGCTTTTTATATTCTAACTTGACAAATGAAATGTAAAAACCTCATTTAAATGTACTGAAGCTGCTTTATGTTTTTTTTTTCCAATGCTGTACTACTGTCTTTCATAAAAATGAATTTTAATATAGTGCTCTATTTGGCATATAGCACAAGATAAGAACAACCTGCTACATTTAAAAAAGAAATTCTTATAAAAAGTTTGAAATGAAACAACTGTCTTGTTATTGTAAATTTATGATAAAAATTACCTTGATAGAACTTTTTGAACTATAGTTCTACTAAATGGCAACATGAAGCTGATTCAGAATCAGAACTGATCTAAGGCACATTTTGTTTACAGAAATGACTTTTATGATATGAAATATTCTGATGGCACAGTTTTTTCAAAGCTTTATTGTTAGGTTTTCTGCACAGAATTTAATACCTCTACATTTTTGAGCCTTGCCATAATTAGATACTGTAGTGGGTGGTACCTTTTACAGATGACTTGTTGCACTGAACCTGCTGCAGTGGATGTTTCAATGAACAGATCTTGCAATGTAACAGGAACATTATATTTTTTTACACTGCATCTTATTTCCAAGCACTGGAATACTAGAATTCAAAACTTTTAGTTAAATTTACAGAAGAATCCCTTCCATAAAATTTATTATATATTGTTTCAATCAAATGGTTTTCCTTAAGTATTGTTCAGGAGATGGCTAAGTTTCCCTAACCATTCTACTGAATGTTTGTTAAGCACAAAGCTATGAATGCATTGAATCTCAGATGCAACTTCTATATTCAATGAAGGTGCATTTTAAGAAATAAACATTTGACTTTTCACAGAATTTGGTGGTGTTTCAAGGCATATATGGGCTATATAAGGAGTTGACTTAAAGAACGGGCCACTTTAAATGCAAGAGTAACTTTATGTGTATGGTAAGCTGTATTTATGGATATTTTGAAAAAGCAGAATGAAAAGGGTGTTGCAACACAAACATAAAAGAATACTTAAATGGAAGATACACTTTCCTAATGGTGTATTTCCTGTGAGACATTTTGGGAAATGTATGTTGCTTCAAAAGAAATGTGATAGAGAGAAGCTTGCTACTAAACTAAGGAATTGAACAGATGGAAGAAACAAATATATATAACAAAAGGGATTTGTGATCTCTGATGAGAAAGGATAACTCTGGTGTTTTAAAAATTCTATCAATAGATTTAGAAAATGAATGTAGTTCATTGTACAGAGGATAATGCAGTGCAACAAATAAGAATCAAATAGTAGTTTTAAGCGTATGTGCTTAGAAGCAAAGTCCATTGAAATCAGTGGAAATTTTCTTTTCATTAACTATAAAACTGAAAAGGTGAGTGTGTTTAAAGAAGTTGAAGTAACTTTAAAATATTAGTTGAATTTGGCAGCATGAATATATGGAAGAATAGTGCTCTTTAGCAACTATTTTTCAATATTTATCATGGAATATTATGAACATATTACAAAAAGATCTACAGTATTTTAGCTTTTCAGTGAGTATAGTATCTATAAGGGTGCAGTTTTGACAGTACACTGTGATTTGGTTGCTGTGTCTTCAAAAATGTGACTGCAGCTTAGTATTTATACATTAAACTGGTTTTCTACATATCTCCATCACATTGATAATTCAAGTGTTAACATTTTACTTGACCAGAGTCTCTCTTCAGTGTATTTGAAAGTAAAATTATCACACCATATTTTCTGTGAACTCAAGTGAGTTTTTGTAATTACTTTATCAATATTTATCATGGAATATTATGAACATATATATTTATCATGGAATATTATGAACATATTCTCTTCAGTGTATTTGAAAGTAAAATTATCACACCATATTTTCTGTGAACTCAAGTGAGTTTTTGTAATTACTTTATCAATCTGATTTATCGTCTAGCTGAAGTGCTTTCTTCTAATCAAAGTTATCCTTT